TATATATCTCTTTTTGTGTGTATTTGCTTTAACAACAGAATCTTTTTTCTAAAAGTTAAAATAAAAAAGGTTTTATTGTTAAATTGAAGTTAAACAATCATTTAGAATTTTGTTTTATTATTGAGAGAGTAATAAATATTTGTTTATTGGCGATAACTATCCACAAATAAATTTCAACGACATTGTTTTTTGAATATTGAATTATTTAAAAAGGATAGTGATATCTGGGGTAACGAATGGCTTAGTGCGCGAGCACGTTAATTTGTTGGTCTCAATAGTCTCTAGTTCCCTTATCCCACATATGCTTCGATTTTATAAAGCTTAGAAATGTAACTATATCCTATTCCTTTCTATGAACTCCTATAATTTTTGAAGTCGAAAATGTCTGATTGGTCTTGACATCAGTGGTCTTTTATATTAATGGCGGATACAAGAGGGGGGGCGGAGGGGGCGATCGTCCCTCCAGAGTTCTCTAAACAAATTTCGTATATTTGAAAAAGTCGGTTTAAAAATGAATTGAGAAAAAAAATTATCAGAGATTATTCGAGACTAAATAATGTTCACTCGATTTTTTTTTAAATAATAAAAAATATTAAAAATAACATTAACGACGATAATAACTAAATATTCACATTTAGTCATACCGCCCTCTCCTCCCCCAGGACTCTCAGGATCCGCCACTGCTTGACATTATACTTACCTAGTCTCTTTGAAATTTCACTGTTGTGCATTTTCGGATTCTCTTGCGCAATCTTCCGTCGTTGTAACCGCGACCAGACCATGAAAGCATTCATTGGCCGTTTAATATGCTCCACTTGCACCTTCTTGCCCGCTGAGCCGAGCGGACTGCTGCCCCCCATGAGGCCGACCCCCATGTGACCTACACCGGCACCACCCGGCGACGTGCCTGTCATCCCGTGCATATTGCGCAGGGTTTCTGAGGAGAAGGGGCCGTCGCACATGTTGCCGCCGGCTCTGTAATTAAAGACATTTATCGATTAGAAACTCTTATTAGTTCGATCAACTCTGGGACACGTATATAGATCCTTGGGGAATTATGTCCGGTGAAAGGTGAAGAATGATCAAAATTATCACTCTCTTTTTCTCTTTTGCTATTTCTCTCTCTCTTTTTTCAACATTTTGAGAAATAATCTGAAGTAATTTCTGATAATGTTAGTAATTTCAAAAATTTTTAAAGTAAACTTTACTCTCAAGAATTTTAAGATCAAATGATAAAAGGGGTTAAGAGGCTAATAAGAGTTTACGGTTCAATTTGCGCAAAATTCTTTTCGATAAATTACCAATTTATTTTGAACTTGAACGTTTCGGCCTTATTTTGGGTCATCTTCAGCATACAGAAATAAGATATTTGAAAACTTCTTGGCTGTTGAGAATATCTCTACTATCTATCTTCCGCCGCTAACGCTACACTTAGTAATTTTACATATTTTTAACATACTTTAACACAATTAAACACACAATTTACACTATTCATATTTTCAACACGTTTGATGTTGTTGTTTCTTATAGCACTACTCATATTATTTCACACTTATAACATACTTTAACACAATTGAATACATCTTTACATTATTTATACTTTTGACATTTATACATTTCAATACAATTTAACTTTTTAAACACACTTTAACACGGTTCAACACTTTTTAAACACACTTTAACACGATTAAACACTTTTTAAACACACTTTTTTAAACATCTCGACTTTTGAAGGTAGAAAATATTTAAATAAATTTAAACTCTTTTATGAGAGAATATAAAAGTATTCCTCTACTATCTATCCTCCGCCGCTAACATTACATTAGTAATTTTACATATTTTTAACATACTTTAACACAATTCACACTATTCATATTTTCATCAAGTTTTATGTTGCTTATCAGTACATGTGCCTGATAATTTCATTATAGCCTATAGGTAGTTATTATCTATAATAGTCAAATAATAAAAAAGCAATGGCATTAAATTCATATATTTAAAGTAGCAATAATACAGCATCAGATGCTTACACTCTAAATTCGTTGCAGTGAAAATTATCGCTTTATCATACAGTGAAAGGTCGATTTTAGGATTTTCACTGCTATGCAGTGATTTTCACTGTATGTAAAAGTGAGTTTTAACTTTTGTTAAAGTGAAATTTTCACTTTATTAGAAACAGTAAAAAATGTCACTATTATGGTAAC